TGCCAACCTAGCAGTTCGAAAGCACCTCAAAGTGCAAGTAGATAAATAGGTACCACTCCGGCAGGAAGGTAAACGGCATTTCTGTGCGCTGCTCTGGTTTCGCCAGAAGCGGCTTAGTCATGCTGGCCACATGACCCGGAAGCTGTATGCCGGCTCCCTCGGCCAATAAAGCGAGATGAGCGCCGCAACCCCAGAGTCGGTCACGACTGGACCTAATGGTCAGGGGCCCCTTTACCTTTACCTAAACAGGATGGGGTGGCGAATAATTCCCTCTCCTTGGCTGACCTGGATGAGGGAGTTTGTGCATAAGAGAGCATGGAGTAGCCACCTGCATGCAAGCCTCCAAATGGTTGGTCAAGGATGAATGTGGCCTGAAAACATTAGCCTTTAAGCCCACTGTATTTAATTTAAGGAGATAAGGAGAAGTCCAACAATTCCACCTTGCCCTGCTTTCTCCTTATGAGAGGCAGCCGGCCAGATGCTCCCAGGGAGCTGGAAGGGTGACGATGAAGGCCACACCCTGTGGCTGCTTCTCTTCGTGCCTAGTATTCTGAGATAGACTGCCTCTAGCTTTCTTGGCCTGTTCTATGGAAATATTACAGGTGGGGGTGATACACTGAGCCAGGCGGTTGGCCCAATGCTGTCTGCTCTAGGGATGGGGAACCAAGGGCCAAAGCAACCCTCTGGACTTCCTTTATCTGCCCCCTGGGTCTCTCCCCAGGCCACATGTCCTCCTGAGCCTCATCCCTGACTAGCCTTGCTTCACACCCTTGTTGGGTGTTTGTGCCCTGCTGGAAAGCATCACTGAACTCTGATCCCGCTTCTTTTTCGCCTGGATGGAGGGTAGGAATGGGAGAGAGTATGTGTTTTGACAAAGGTCTACCCAATTTTGCCTTTGGAGCATGTCTAGCTCCAGGGTGTGGCATGGCCTGACATAGACCCAGACCCAAAGTTTGGCAAAGGGACCCAGCACCCCAACAACAGGTGATAAGGTAAAGATAAAGGACCCCTGGGTGGTTAGGTAAAGGTAAAGGGACCCCTGACCATTAGGTCCAGTCGTGGCCGACTCTGGGGTTGCAGCGCTCATCTCGCTTTATTGGCTGAGGGAGCTGGCGTACAGCTTCCGGGTCATGTGGCCAGCATGATTAAGCCGCTTCTGGTGAACCAGAGCAGCGCACGGAAACGCCATTTACCTTCCCGCTGGAGAGGTACCTATTTATCTACTTGCATTTTGACATGCTTTCGAACTGCTAGGTTGGCAGGAGCAGGGACTGAGCAACGGGAGCTCACCCCGTCGCAGGGATTCAAACCGCCGACCTTCTGATCAGCAGGTCCTAGGCACTGTGGTTTAACCCACAGCGCCACCCACGTCCCCCCTGGATGGTTAAGTCCAGTCAAATTCATCTATGGGGTGCGGTGCTCATCTCTGCCTTCAGGCCAAGGGAGCCGGTGTTTGTCCACAGACAGCTTTTCCAGGTCATGTGGCCAGCATGGCTAAACTGCTTCTGGCACACAGAACACCGTGACGAGTGCCAGATCGCATGGATACGCCATTTACCTTCCTGCTTCAGTGGTACCTATTTGCTCACGCTGGTGTGCTTTCAAACTGCTAGGTTGGCAGGAGCTGGGACAGAGCAACAGGAATTCACCCCGCCGCGCGGATTTGAACCGCCAACCTTGTGATCGGCAAGCCCAAGAGGCTCAGTGGTTTAGACCACAGCGCCACCCGCGTCCCCAGCAACAACACCCCTGTTCTCAGTATTAATGGAGCAGATCTGAAGTAGTGCAAGAGACTTCTTCTTGCATTCCTTGCCTCACCAGCACACCAATCAGGTCCCACACACTGAAGAGGCACATTTTAAGATGTCTGGATCAAACCAATGGCCCATCTAGTTCAGGCATCCTTTCCTCCCAGTGCAAACCCAGATGCCTGTGGAAGCAGGATCTGTGCACAAGAGCACTCTTCCTTCCCGTGGCTCCCAGCAACTGACATTCAGAAGCTTTACTGCCTCTGACCTTCAAAGCAGGGCAGAGCCTTCTCAGGGGCCTTCTCCTCCATGAATTTTTCGAATCCTCTGTTAAAGCCATCCAAGTTGGTGGCCATCACTAACCTCCTTCAGGATTGGGTTCCATAGATCAACTGTGGACTGCAGGAAGAAGTCCTTTATTTTACCTGCCCTGAATCTTCCAACATTCAGCTTCATTGGGCATCCATGAAATCTGGGTGATTCATGCAACTTACAGTCTGCATAGGCAGAGCATGCATGGTGTTTTGGTTGTTGTTGTTGTTTATCCAACAAAACGCTGCATCTTTCTTTCTCCGCAGTATGAAACATCCATTGTAAGGGCTTTTTGGGGGTTTGGTGCAGCAGTCCCAAGCCCTGGGGTTTTTGAACTGGGCCCCAGATCTCCTCTAGCCCTTCCATCATCATCATCATCATCATCATCATCATCATCATTTATTACAGGGCTGCTCTGTGCCAACTGCAGTAACAGAGAGGCAGCAGCCACCCACCACCTTCATTTGCTCAGGGACCCAGATTTGCACTTACACATAGAATTTAGCATGTGCAGATCTTATGGAAATGTGTGCCCCGAATCTTTTTACGCACCCACCAGTACCCCTGACCCACCACATCCATGCCTCGCAGACTCGGCGTGGTTTTTTCAGCGGTTGTGGTCTTTGTTCCTTCCAGCAAGGCATCCGATCACAGTGACCTATCGTGGAGCGTTTAATAAGGACGGGTAATCAGTTTGGGAACAGCTCCCCTGGGAGCCCAAAACCTGTCTATCCAAACTAATTAGCAAACAACTCTCCGCCAGCCAATGGGTTTGCGGAAATTAGAATCTGGGGGGGAGAGGTGGCTAAATGGCGCAGTAATTTATTCCCCTGCGAATAATTTGGCCGGCGTTGCTTGAAACCCCCCCTGGCCATTTTATTTTATTTTTATTTTTTGAGCGTAAGCCTGTTTTCCAGCCCACATTTCTTCCCATCCCTCCCACTCACCTTCGCCTCCTTGGAGATGGGAGGGAAGCGATTGTAGCCAGAAGCCTTTCCAGCTATGTGAAGGTGGTAGGGTTTAGAAGTCATCAGGTTTTTTTATATATTAAAAAACAACAACTGTGCAATTGAACTTCTAGCTAATACCTTTCATTCCTGGGAGCAGAAATAAGAGGGGAGCTTGCAAACAAAATTAATACATTTTCTAATTTCTCTCTCCCCTCCTTCCTTCTCTTCTTCATAGTCTACTTCCCAGAGATTTAGCATTTTCAAAGTGTTCCGTCAAGGTAAAAAAACAACCCCACGTACGACAATGGGGAAGTGCTGCCTTTCTAGCCCACGGCCAGTGCAGCTTTAAAATGAGGTCCCAGGTAGTCATGGTTACCTTTCCTCTTTGGGGAGAGATGGAGATGGCTTCCCCCCCCCCCCGTCTTCAGCCTTCCGCCTTTGTGTTTGCGCGTTATCAGACAGAACGTTCAGACAGAACGGTAATCGGTGTTCACACATGCAGCCAGGGACGCAGTAGAAGAGGGGGACCAGCCCAGGCGAGGTCAGGGAGCCCCCCTGGGATTCCACAAAGCTCCTGGGCTGAACACAGACTGCAAAGGTTTTTAAAGAGAGTCTGAAGTGGATCGCTGGGAGCATCGCTTCGGGGGGTGTTAAGCCCAGGGGTAGCCAGAGTGGTGCTCTTGGGATGTTGTTAGACTCCCATCAATCCCAGCCTTACAAAGATCCCGCCAATGGGCCACCTAGCCCAGCATCTTGTTCTCACAGGGGCCAACCAAATTCCTGTAGGAAACCCGCAAACAGGATCCGAGCACAAGAGCAACTCTCCCCACCTGTGGTCTCCAGCAACTGCTGCTCAGAAGCATTGCTGCCTCGGATTGATAGCCGTTATCCTCCATGAATTTGCCTTAATCCTGTTTTAAAACCTTCTGGTTAAACCACAGAGCCTAGGACTTGCTGATCAGAAGGTCGGCGGTTCGAATCCCCATGACAGGGTGAGCTCCCATTACTCGGTCCCTGCTCCTGCCAACCTAGCAGTTCGAAAGCACGTCAAAGTGCAAGTAGATAACTAGGTACCGCTCCGGCGGGAAGGTAAACGGCGTTTCCGTGCGCTGCTCTGGTTCACCAGAAGCGGCTTTGTCATGCTGGCCACATGACCCGGAAGCTGTACGCCGGCTCCCTCGGTCAATAAAGCAAGATGAGCACCACAACCCCAGAGTCGGTCACGACTGGACCTAATGGTCAGGGGTCCCTTTACCTTTACCTTAGGTGGGTGGCAGAAGCACCACCTTCTCGAGATGATAGAGGGGGCCTGACATCACACGAGTGTGACATCACAAGGAGCTATGGGGCAGAGTCAGACTTCCTCTGAATATTGAAGGGGCTCGGCCCGCTAAAAAAACACAAAACCATGGGGGGGACTGTATAGGAGCTGGCACGTATGGCTGGTGGGAGTTGGAGGGTTTATTTTGCCCATATTTTGCCCCTGCTTCCGTTTTATTTCAGAACAGCACACAAATTCGCCAGACCTGTTTACAGAAGCCAAAGTCCGGATAAGCGTAAGCAGCTCAGACTGTGATCGCTCATTTAAACTGCTATCGGTGCTGTTTCTCCCCAATTCGTCAGCCTCATTTCCCTCCTCTGAAAAGGGCATTTGCCCACCCACCCCAAACTAGGTGATCCTGTCTCACATGCAGGAATAAATCCAAGCTCAGATCAAACTCAGACTGGTAGAAGCTCAGAGGTTCCTACCAAGCCAGTGTCATGTATTTGCAAGGATCTGTTTCCTGCAGACATACAGGTTGAGCGGGTATTGAGACAAGGAGGCAGGCATGGCGGCAGCATGAGGGCAGAAGTAACACTAGCCTTATCCCTCTAGATAAGCGCTCTTTGCCAAACCCCCAAAACCCTCCCTTTGTGGTACAACCTTTTCCCATCAATCGGACGATTCGTAACCTCCTGGCTTGCAGTGGCTTTGTTAGGGGGTGGCTCTGGGTTTGTGTGTGTCTTTAGCCCTGGGTCTTTTGGTCCCCCGCCCAGATCTCCTGCTCTTTCCCTCCCCCTTTTCACCCCAGCTGCCTTTTTGCTCTGCTTACGGGTTGGCTGGGTGCATTACAAACCCTGGTGCCAGCGAAACCCAGCCAACTGCCATCTTAATTTGCCCGGAGGCCTGTGTGGCCCACGTCTCTTAATTACCTGCTGCCCTGCCGATGGGCATGACTCAAGCGACATTCCAAAGCAGCTTCAAACAAAGAGGGGCCTAATTTGCCCATCGGGGTCTGTTGCCATGGAAACATACGAACACAGGAGGACCATTGGCCCATCTGGCTTCAGTCGCCGGCAGTAGAAGCTCTCCAAGGTTCCAGACAAAGGTCTTTTACCTGGTGCTTTTTTTCAGCCAGAGAGCACCGGAGCACAGTTCCGGCAGCTCTCATGTGTGTGCCGTTGTTGGCTAGCGCTCCCTCCACCTGCGTCTTGCCTTTTACATACTTCTGAGAAGCCCCAAACGAACATTTCAAGTCAAAACGGAAACTGGCCAGTGTGTGTGTTATGTACTGAATTGAATAGGATCCAAAATGCAGCAGTCTGATTGGTCCTAGAAAAATAGGATCCAAAATGCAGCAGTCTGATTGGTCTGCAGGAGCCACCCAATCCAGCTCCAGGTGGAAGTGAATCCACAACCTGATTGGCCTACAGGAGAATTCCGGAATTAGCCAATCACGTGCAGCCCATTGTGTAAATAATGTATATAAAGCAGGCATTCTGGGGGAACTTCCATTCCTCCTCACCACTATGAGCTGAATAAAGAGCATGAAATCCATTCTCGACTCTGAGTATATTTCAGTGTGTAAGACCCCTTTTTTTAGATCTACGGCTCCACCTAGCTCCTAGCCGCTCCTAACCATAATTGGTCCAGCTACAGCGCGGGCCCAATTTGTATTTCCTTTTCCTCAGTCCGTCTCCCGTGTAGCGGCAGCAGGCTTTAAGCTTTCCATCCATGCTCTACCATTGCGCACGTGTGCACAAGGTCCCTTCCGAGCTGCCCTAACCATCCGTCTGAATCTAAGAGAATGAGGGAGGTGGGGTGCAGTTATTTGACTTGCACCAGAACTGGGGGCAACCCCCAAACCAGCTAGGAAGACAGCTTGCCATAGTTTTTAGCACCTCCACAGGCAGTGAATGCAGCAATTGTCAAACCGGCATTTGTTGAGGGCTGCCCCGAGTCGCTGTAGCAACTTCATGGTGTGTTATGGCACCTGTTTTTCTAGAGAGTGAGAAAAGCGCTGGTCTTCCCCAACTTATGGCTAAGCTGACTCAAAAACGCCCACCCACCCCACTCACACACAAAAACAAAGTTCACCGCAGCCAATCACAAACAAGCAACCGCACCCTAGGCCAACCCCAATTTCTCTCACCACCAAAGGAACACAAGCGAATGGCAAAGAGAACCCGCACAAACGATGCTGACACAAAACCCCCCACACACATTAAGCAAATTGGAAACATCGCCTCCCGACCCCCACGCCCACTCGCCTTTCCCCCCTCCACCTCTCCCCCCCCCTTTTCTTCCTAATGTAACCCTGATGTCTCAACAAATGAAACTGACCTATGGAAAACGTAACTTGAAAAAAGAGACATTGCGCATACCTTTGTAAACCAAGAAAACTTTATTAATAAAAATATTTATTTATTTTACAAAAAGAGGAAAATACTTGGAGATGCTGGGGATAGAGACCAGAACCCGCTGCGTGCTTAGCTGATGCTGTGCCACTGAGCTACACTGAGCCTCAAGCTCCCTTATACTGAGTCAGTCCATTGGTCCATCTAATTCAGTACTGCCTACATGGACTGGAAGTGCCGCCTCTGGGTTTCAGATTGCGGACATTCTCAGCCCCTCCTGGAGATGCCAGGGTTTGAACCTGCGACCCCTTGTGTCACGAGGGAGCTGACAGGCAGCACACCTCCTCATCTGTCCAGTCCCTGAGATCTTGCATGCTAAGCTGATGCTCTGCCACAGAGCTACATCTCTCCCTTGAGGGCCAGTGTGGTGTAGTGGTTCAGAGCAGTGGACTCGTAATCTGGTGAACCGGGTTCGATTCCCTCTCCTCCACCTGCAGCTGCTGGGTGACCTCGGGCCAGTCACACTTCTCTGAAGTCTCTCAGCTTCACTCACCTCACAGAGTGTTTGTTGTGGGGGAGGAAGGGAAAGGAGATGGTTAGCCGCTTTGAGACTCCTTAGGGTAATGATAAAGCGGGATATCAAATCCAAACTCTTCTTCTTCTTCTTCCTCCCCCAATTCCTCAGCAACCAAAGCAAGCCGATCTGAAAAGGACACCCGATTTATCATAGTGGCCTGAACCATGGCTCAGAAGAGCAGTACAGTTGTACCTCAGAAGTCAAACGGAATCCCTTCCGGAAGTCCGTTCGACTTCCAAAACGTTCAAAAACCAAAGCTCAGCTTCAGATTGGCTGCAGGAAGCTGGGGAAGCCCCATCAGATGTTTGGCTTCCAAAACTTGTTCAAAAACCGGAACACTCACTTCCAGGTTTCGATCGTTCGGGGTCAGATTTGTTCAGGAGCCAAGGCGTTCGAGATCCAAGGTACGACTGTAGAAATGCCGGTGGGAAAGCAAGGGGCATTTTGCAGCCTGCAACAGCCGGCCGGTCCTACAGGGGAGCAAGAAATGCAGATTCTAGGTTCTGTTTGTTTTTCTCTCACATACAGCCCCTATGCAGAGAGCCATAAAAGATTTTTCTTTTCCCCCCTTTCCTCCCAGAGACCAAACAAGTTCCACCAGGTGGCTTTAAGCCTCTTGAAATTAAAAAAGAAAGAAAGAAAAGAAAATAACAAGGCACCTCAAGGTCTGCTGGTGCGTGCGCATGTCTCTGCATTTGGACTGTGATTGATGAAAGATCAAAAGCTCTGTTCCTGGAGGATCACTGCTTATGGAATGAGCAGACGTGGGAGGGAAGGAAGGATTTTTGTTTTGTTATGAAATGGGGGCGCGAGGAGAAGGGGCAGCAAGCTAGAGCAGAAGCCCGGGGTCTCTGTGCCAACGTAGCAAAGCTTTCCCGCAGGAATCTCCAGCTCTCTGTCGGTGAAACGTTTTTATTTCCTCCCCGTAATTGGATCCTGGCGAAATGGCGCTGTACTATTTAGTGCGGCAGACTTGCGGGATACCGACTTTTGGAAGAGCCTCTGCCGGATCAGGCTTAGCTCCCACTGGTTTCAACAGGAGCGGAGCGCAATGGCTAGTTTATACAGCGTGATCTTAATGCTTGCATGCTCAGGAGTAAAGCCCGCTGAATTCAGTGGCACCTACTCTCAGGTCAGTGTGTATAGCAGGGATCACCAACGCGTGCCCTCCAGATGCTGTTTGAACTGCAACCGACAGCGACTGACATTTGGAGGGCAGCTGGTATATAGGATTGCAAACTTAGCCTGGATCTAACCCACCATGTGGCTAATAATGACAACAGACCACTAAATTCAGAACCTGTGATCAAGTGATAAGTACTTCAAGTTTCATTTTTTTTATTTAAAAAAGAGGCAAGTTGCTAGTTCTTATGTGGGCACCCCTCTCCCCTCTCCCCTCCACACACACACACACACACACACACAAACACACACCACGATCGATTTCCTTCTGCCCTCTCTGTCATCCCTTCTCTGCAAAAGCGGTAGAATTCAATTCAAAATTCTTTGCAGGAGCCAAAGAAACAAATACTCAGGAGAGGGGAGAAATCCCAAAATGAGTGAAATGCGAATGCCCACATTGCGTTTGCAGAATTCAGTCTGATTCCTGAGATCCAGAGTGTTGTAGTCGTCAGAGGGTCCGACTAGGACCCAGGAGAGACCAGGGTTTGAATCCCCACTCAGTCATGAAACTCGCTGGGTGTGGCTTTGTCCCAGTTCCTGCCCCTGAGCCTAAACTACATCACAGGGTTGTTGTGAGGATTAAATGGGGCAGCTGAAAACCCCTTGAGCTCCTTTGGGGGAAAAGGTGGGATACAAAGGCAATAAACAGAATTCGAGAAACGTGTTTGTGTGCTTTCTGCACCTGCCTTTATTTAAAATGTAGCATGCTGGGGCCCCGTCACTCCCGGGAGATCTGCACATGCCCCTGGCATCGCAGGATAGGAAATAAAAACAACATCAATAATATTATTAATCCCCTTGCCTTTAAAGTCTGCTCGAGACCTGCTGCCTGGTAGCACTCTTTCTCTCTTTTTCTCACTCCCTCTTTCTCTCTGTCTCTCTCTCGTCAGCGTGATAAGCAGCTCCAAACAATTACTGCCTTGTAACGGGAGCACCAGACGGGCTGCCTTTCCTCAGCCAGCACAAAATAATTTGCAAAATTAAGCGGATGACTGGAGAAGACAGCTCTTGCTGAGCGAGGATGGGCTCTTAGCCGCAATGGCTCCCGAATCTGCAGCTCCCCAGAGCTGCCCATTGCAGCGTGTCAGGAAGCTGCACATTGAGCTTGCACCTGGCTTTCCGTTTACATTTTTCGCCAGGGCTGGGCTCAGCGATGGGGCTTTGTAGGGGGAAAGAAATGCCTCTAATTGCTGCTTTATTGACTCTCCTGAGCAGGGGCTGCAAACAGCTGTCCAGGTGTGGGGAGCCAGAGGGAGGTCAGTTGATGGAGGGGGGAGATTCCTTTCAAATGAAAACCAGAAGGTGGCATTTAGAATTGTAGAGTTGGAAGGGACCTCGAGGGACATCTGAAGGCAGCCCTGTATTGGGATGCTTTTAATGTGTGGTGTTCTGTTGTTGCTGCTGCTGCTGCTGCTGCTGCTGCTGTTGTGCATTTGTATATTATGTTGGAAGCTGCCAAGAGTGACTGGGGCAACCCAGTCAGTTGAGCGGGGTACAAAACAAAATTATTATTTTGTTGTTGAGTCGTTTAGTCGTGTCCGACTCTTCGTGACCCCATGGACCAGAGCACACCAAGCACTCCTGCCTTCCACTGCCTCCCGCAGTTTGGTCAAACTCATGCTGGTAGCTTCAAGAACACTGTCCAACCATCTCGTCCTCTGTCGTCCCCTTCTCCTTGTGCCCTCCATCTTTCCCAGCATCAGGGTCTTTTCCAGGGAGTCTTCTCTTCTCATGAGGTAGCCAAAGTATTGGAGCCTCAGCTTCAGGATCTGTCCTTCCAGTGAGCACTCAGGGCTGATTTCCTTCAGAATGGATCGGTTTGATCTTCTTGCAGTCCATGGGACTCTCAAGAGTCTCCTCCAGCACCATAATTCAAAAGCATCCATTCTTCCGCGTTCAGCCTTCTTTATGGTCCAGCTCTCACTTCCATACCTCACCACTGGGAAAACCATAGCTTTAACTATACGGACCTTTGTTGGCAAGGTGATGTCTCTGCTTTTTAAGATGCTCTCTAGGTTTGAAATTATTATTATTATTTATTATCCAACCCTCTACAATGCAGGAATCTCAAAGATCATCCATAACAGATGGCCATCCAACATCAGCTTCAAAAACATTCAATGCAGGAGAGTCCAGCACCTCTACTGGGAGCATAGGTGCCACCTCTGCAGGGCCGTGGGGGCCCGAGCACCCACAAATTTTCAATGAAGGGATTGGGTTGCCCCAAAGTTCCACTCCATGACGCACGCCCGATGTGTGTGAGTGACGTCACCACGCCGTGGGTGCACGCGGCAGGGTGTGCCGACACGCCACATGCATGCCACAGTTACGTCAGTGTGCCCCGGACACCCTCTGTTGTGGGGGCAAGGTGGTGCGCCTAAGTGGGAGTCTGTTCTTCCGTTGAACAGCTCTTACTGTCAGAAAGTTCTTCCTGATGTGGAGTTGGAATTTCCTTAAGGTTGAAGAGCTGTGCAAATAAAAATGGGTGTGGAGGGGGCAAGCACAGTCATTAGGAGCTGCCGTAAACTAGGTGTGGTTATTTGCCCATCTTTTAGTTCTATGCTGCCTGAACCCATCTTCACCAGCCTGGGTGCAGATGTTTGAGGCTGGGTGTTTGGGGCTATGATTCTCATCAGGGAGTGGCCTCAAACCAGGTAGATAGCACCAGGCTGGGGGAAGCGAGTCTACATCAGTGGTTCCCAATTGTTTTCAGGGCACCACCCCCTGGATTCCATAAGCTCCACGCTAGTCCCCCCTACCCTGTAAAAAGCGTGGCTCAGAATAGCTCTCTGCACAACCCACCAAAGGACACAATAAAATTCAAAACAGTAACAATTAATTGCATGTTTATTCAAAATCCAATTAAAACTATTCAGTTGAATTAATTTGATGAAAGGTTTGAACTCGATCCAACGCCAAACTACCAGCTTTTCAAAGTCTGGTCGTCATTTACACCTCCAGTGCCCCTCTTGCCTCTTAGCGCCCCTCCCTAGGTAACCCACTGCCCCTCCCCAGGCGGTTGTATCACACACTCTGGGAACCACTGATCTACACTCAGGATGGACAAATCTGCCCAATTTGGTTTCTCCCAGTTAATCATCCCCCCCCCCCCGGTCCTAAATTAGTTCATTCTGTTTCCGCATCTGGCTGTGATTTTTAAAAATAGCAATCCACGCGCATCTCCTGCTATACACAACTTTGTACATAGTTTTGCCTAGTTAACAGACACACACTTTCTATCTCTCTGTGTCTCTGTGTGTGGGCCGAACTGATCCAGAGGATTGGGCAGAGAAGTGATCAGAAGGACTGGAGCCCGCAGCGCTCTCTCAAAAGCCAAGTGTTCCTGAGAAAGGTTGGCTGCCCCCCATGGAAAGGAGTGCTTTCCTTGCACATTCTGAAAACTCGCACAGCTGGGAAGTGGCCGCAATTGCACATCTTTGCACTGTGATGGTGGCCAGATGTGGACGACACCACCACCACCCCGCCGCCTCCAAACAAACACCTCGACTTTGCAACCTCCGTAAAGTCCTGCAAAGCTTCCAGGGCCGTCCCCCGCTGTGCCTCCCTCCCACCCATGCATCACATCCTCCCCTCCAGCTATTCCCACGCTCCAAGGAATGCAGTTGGTCTCTGTTCAGACAGATGCTCGCATGCATTTGAAACCTATGGATAGGGAAAGTCAGAAGCATCTCAAGGAGCTAAAGGCCCATTACTGCCCCACATCCTACATTTCCCCCAGTTTAAATAACAGCAGTAGCTACATTCAGAGAGCCAGAAATCTCACCCAGTAGTATCTGATTTATTCCTCCAATGGGCTATTTGAGTTTCAAGGATTTGTGTTTAGGAATACGATGCAGGTTGCCCCAGCAACACTGCTATGGTCCAAATCTGAGCCTGCTTTTTTTGTTGTTGTTGTTTAGTCGTTTAGTCATGTCCGACTCTTCATGACCCCATGGACCAGAGCACGCCAGGCACTCCTGTCTTCCACTGCTTCCCACAGTTTGGTCAAACTCATGTTCGTAGCTTCGAGAACACTGTCCAACCATCTCGTCCTCTGTCGTCCCCTTCTCCTTGTGCCCTCCATCTTTCCCAACATCAGGGTCTTTTCCAGGGAGTCTTCTCTTCTCATGAGGTGGCCAAAGTATTGGAGCCTCACCTTCAGGATCTGTCCATCCAGTGAGGACTCAGGGCTGATTTCCTTCAGAATGGAGAGGTTTGATCTTCTTGCAGTCCATGGGACTCAAGAGTCTCCTCCAGCACCATAATTCAAAAGCATCAATTCTTCAGCGATCAGCCTTCTTTATGGTCCAGCTTGCACTTCCATACATCACTACTGGGGAAACCATAGCTTTAACTATACGGACCTTTGTCGGCAAGGTGATGTCTCTGCTTTTTAAGATGCTGTCTAGGTTTCTCATTGCTTTTCTCCCAAGAAGCAGGCG